TTTTGAATAATTTATACTAATATTTTTTTTTAATTTTATTTTGAATAAATTAGAAATTCTATAAATAATTAGATATGAACAAAATTATTTTGATATAAATAGAGAAATTATTGCTATTGGAACAAGATATTTATCTATTCCTTTGATTCTATTGAGATAGTTCATTATTTGAATAAAAGAAATGGTTATTTAGATAATTTTATATTTTATTAATTTTCGAAAAAATGTTATATCAATTTTTTTTCATTGAAATATCGAAATATCATAGTAAAAAGTTCCTCTTAGATCCTCAGGGAACTAGTCTCTAAAATAAGAGAAAATATCGAATTATCCCAATAAAATATTCTTTTTAGATTCTTAGGGAACTGACTTCCAAGAGAAGATATGATTGGATTTTTTGATATCAGGTAATATTATAAATATTTTTCAAAAATATTCTAATATTTATTTTGATTTTATCGATATTTTAGAAATTTAAAAATTATATAATTTCAATTATTTAAATATATAATATATAAGAAAAGAAATCATGAATATAGAATAATATCACTATTTCCAATTTAAAATTAGATTTGATATATAAAATTATAAATATTTCGATATATATTTAATTTCGCGAGATGCCGCCAATAAAAAAAGATATTCTCAAATAAAAATATTTTACAGATATATAATAAAAATAAATGATCGAATAATCTTCGAATACCTACCGATATATGAAATGAATATGAATTTATTAGAATATCTAGATATATAAATTGATATATATATATATTCGATTTAATTATTCAATATATCATAGATATATAAATAATATCGAATAGAGATATTCGATATCTTATTGGAATCTAATCAATATTCAATTATCTATATAAATATCTTATTTTTATTTAGAAATCTTATCTGATCGGAATATTATCGATCAAATATTTATCTATACCTACTAATATATTGCGCCAATTAATAAGATTATTTAAATATAAAATCTAAGTTTTTTCTAGAAATCCAAAAATATATCAAAATAAATTATCTAGAAAATTTAAATATATATAAATATATATATATATATATTTTCTATCTTCTTATTTAATATATCTCCTAATCATAAAAAATAATCAAATCTCGAATATCGATATATAAAATATGAAAATTTTTATTTTTAATATGAATTCTATAATTCATATATTTTGCTTAATATAAAGAATATCGAAAATATATATTTAAATTTCTAATTCATAAAATTATTCATATTCTTCCGAAATCATTACGAAGGGATCTCCCGTGCGAAATCTTTCAGAGAAATATATAAGATAAAATATATAATTCCAAATCTATAACTCCAAGATATATCTAGCTCCAAATATCTCTAGCTCCAAATATATCTAATATTCATATATCTAGCTCCAAATATCTCTAGCTCCAAATATCTCTAATATATATATATATATAGATTAAATCAAATATATACTAATATATATATATATATATACTAATATATATTTATTCATATTTATATAGCCTACTAATCATAGATTTATCTTCATAGAATTGATTTATTTATATAGGTTTGATTTATCTAGATAGATTTATCTAGATAGCCTATTATCTCTGTTTGGATCTCGATATTTCTTTCTATCTTTCTGAAGCTGGGGCAGGATCAATCGATCCTGGCGGGAATAAATCCTTAATGGGATTCTTCGTGGTCGAGTGCACGATTACGAGGTAATTTCATGATTTCTCGATCTCCTTCGCAACCCTTACGATTGGGGGGCAGGGTCATTTTCACGAGAATATACGAATACGAGATAAATTATATTCATTTTAGGCGTCATATGAAGACACGACGAATCTTTCACGAGGGGACACGTGGTCGACCTCTTGAAAATATATATCCTCTGAATAAAAAAATATATCGTCGACTTTCCGGGAAGCAATCCTTACGATGGATTCGTGAAATCAAGAAACGAAATGCGAAGCAAATAAACGCTCTTGAAATGCGCCTATTCCGTCCCCGTGCATCCCTTTGCGGGATTTAAAACGGTAACCGCCAAAACGCGAGGCGTAATCCTTTGCGGGGATTCGCGTTTTCGAGGGTAGCGAAGAGCGAGTTCCCCTACGAAGGGATCATCTCCACACAAAATCATTTAGATTCCCGCATAATCTTTTGCGGGGATTAGTCTATCGAGTACAATTTTCAAGGTGCCGATGAAATCGAAAAAGGTTTCGTGGTCGAATTCAGAAATACGAAATAAAAATATAAATTTCAATACGAAATAGAATCGCCAAGATTCCCGTATATTACTTCATAGAAATTAGTATAATCGAATACGAAATAAAATTATTCTTTTTGGGGAGATTCGAAAGAAAACGAGAGAGAGAGAGAGAAATAGAGAGAGAGAAGAATTAATTTCTATATAATAAAATAAAGATCTAATTCTATAATTAAATATATAATATTATATATTTAATCCTATATAATTCCAAATTCTTCGTAAATAATATTTTTTTATTTATAAATTATGAACAAAATAATTAAAGTATTATTATAAATTATTATTTTTATTAATTCTTATATAAAGCAAATATATAAATATAGAGTTTAATTATATTCAGAAAATCCTTTATTTCAAAAGAAAATAAAATCTATAGAATTTTTTATCTCGAAAATATAATAAATTTCGGCAATCTTTATAATTCGAATTTTTTTAAAATTATCAAAAATCCTTATATTATAATATGAAGCAAATATTCTCCAATTAAGATTTATTTTATTATTCTCATGAGAGAATTTAATTAATTAATTTCTTCCTGAAATAGAAATATTAATCAAATATCAAATTCCAAATTTCTTTTTATTTTTCAAATTTTTGCTTAAAAAAATTATGAACAAATCGATTAAATATCTCTTATGCTAGTAAAGATCATATTCTAATAAATTTCATTCTCGTTCTTTGTCGATATATTTATGGTGTCCGTGTCTAGAGTTATTTTGAGAAATTCAATGGATAGGAAGATATCGGATTTCGTATTAATTATGACTCGTCTAGTTCCAAGCAAATACGCATGACGAATTTCAGGAGTTGGATTCAACTATTTGAGCGCTATTGGAAATAGTCTGGCCCATCCGAAAATAGGTTGTCGTCAATGCCGAGATTTCCCAAACTAGAGATACGAGTCTTTTTTGTGCACCTTCAAGCAATTCCCCTTGAAAACTTCGGGGCACTGGATGGCAACCACATTCAGGCTGATGAGGGTGCAAGCCGTCAAAACTTCGCCAATATCGCCTTGGTGTGGCTCCAGACAGTGTCTTTGGCTTCTTTGTGGAGGCTCGTCAGCGTTTCAGTGCTCTCGCCGTACTGGTTCACGATATAGAAGCCACCTCCTTTGAAATCATCATGATAGAGGCTCCTGAACATGTACCTCGGCTGTCGACTTTTGTTGACGTCAAGAAGCCCGAAAGTCCTAGCCTGTTTCGCTTCCCACTTGCAGACCAGCTATACAACTTGTGAGCATGCTACCTCTAACTGAAAACCCTGTTAAACCTGAGCCCACAAGTTCATCAAGGAAGGCTGCTGGTGACTCGGCCCAGGATGATGTTAGCAAACTTTGTTTTGCTGTTCGACAGGCATGAACATTCCTTCTCGGAACAGAAGTGCAAGAGAGAAAGGGTGCAGACCTCCGAACACATCAGAAACCCAATAATCGAAACCTACTCCAGCACTAAGATCTTTGAGTCTCATCACCGAAACCTACCCGTACTCATACCTGGCCTCGAACCCGAAAGCGCCGCATCCTAGCCCAGCAGGAACCGAGTGTACCAACGATCCCTTTGCATCTCTGAGCTCTAAACCCTGAACACTGCTACCGTCCGCAGCTGTTCTGCAAGTCGCTCAGCGGCATCTTCCTTCGACCGACCCAAGTTCTGCAACAGCCGAACCAAGGCCTGTCTCATGTTATTTTCGGATAAGGTGTAGGCCTTATGGTCGAAGTACACATATCTACAAACTTATGATCCATGTTGTTATATGTACATGGGGCTTAGGGTTTAGGGTTGAAGTAGATATATCTACCAACTCATGACGACTCCCATGCTAAGTTGCATCATGTTGGGATATAGTATAGTGTACTGTCTTCAATTCTAGTCTATTCTATGCTGTTCGCTGTCATGCTGCTCTCTTACTGCGCCTTATCCGAAAAAGCAGTTTAAGGTGTGTTCATTGCTAGCACGGCTGGCGGACATATTCCAGGCATGGGGACATAGGGCTTCCTAAATCGGGCTGTTGACTCACAGTCACAGGACCAAAGCGGGCTTTCGTGTATTTCCAGTAAGCAGAGCAGCGCTTTGCGATTTCTGCCTGAGTTTGTGTGCTATGGGACTCCATCAAGGCTTTATTGAAAGGTTTCGAGCTCTGTGGAAAACGATTCGTTTGACAATGCCTCGAAAATTTGCTGCTAGATCCCAGCGGCGCCTTAACGAACGTCGGCATTTCGGTGCCCCAAGAAGTGGCCACGAAGCCCGGGGCTGCATGCACGAAGCTCACACCTGAGGTCCCGGGTCAAGCGGTTTTTCCAAGTCCTGATCCCCAAACAAAGTGTTTGAAGCTTGGGTATTAAAACTTAAGCCCATGGTCACAATCACCAGCATGGTCACTGCCACCGAAATTCGGTCGATTGGTACGACATGCACTCTATACCTGTTCAGACTTGGGCCTGGGTATGCGTTGCTTAGCGCATCCACCGCAATGTCGTTGTAGAAGCCTCCAGGCCACGGGAAGCTTTCGGGCTGTGGGGCCGCCATGCGGATGGGAGGTGAGGGTTCCACTGTCATGGAGTCTATCTCTAAGTGCGCTACGATGGCGCCAAGCTCGCAGCAGCCTGCCGGCGTGGAGTGCACAAGGGGTGTTTATTCTCCAGGTTGGAGAACTCCCTCAAAGAAATATCAACAACCCCCCTGATTCATTCTCAACAACACCCCGCCACTGTTAATCCTCCATCCTTCTGCAAACCCCTTCTCCCGTAACTGCGCATTCAAAACCTCCCTTATATGTCCCTATGATTATAAATCCTCACTTCGGCACTCTATACTTGTAGGTCTCACAGGACAACAGGTCCAAGAATTCGCTGGCGCCAGTTTCTATTGAATCGATGAGTCTTCTGCGGAGGCCATGAGGCTGTGGTGCGGCTTGCATATACAGCATATACACCGGCAGTATCAAACTTAAAATGACACAGCTTGAAAAGATTTGAAGAGGCTCTGCAGACTTATACCATACAAGGCTGTATAGAGCTTAGACTTCACGTACTCAAGCTTGTATGCCACTGGTACAATGCTTACACTAAGCCTGTACAGAGCGTTTAGCTTCTTCCGGTTTGTAGGTTGCTGGGAGGATGGAAGGGGCGGCTGCGTGGACCATAAGCTTTACACGCATTTTCCGGTATAGTCTCATGTCGATGTATTCGATGATTGCTTTACAGCCTTCTTGTAGAGATTTATACATTGTCCGGTCTTGCTTCGTTAATTGGGTCTCATGTGGGGTTTATAGCGCTGCAGGGCATTTTCAGGCTTACTATAGGGGCCTGAAGAAGTAGAATAGGGTTTCGGGGCCCAGTATACAATAATCATAAAAAGGACCCCCCACCCCCCCCCACACACACACTCAATAGTATTGTTAATTATTAACTGGGCTGGCCTTGAAACCCTCTGAAAAGTGTTTATAAAGGGTCCCTTATAAACCCAAATAAGGAAATAAGGAAAAGACAAAAATGTCCCCAAAACCCAGCTAGTTAAGGAGCCTACATTAAGGCATCTCGCATGTCTCAGAGCCTGCGAGGTTCGCTGCCTTCGTCAAGGAATAGCTCTTCCGGAGGTCGGGGTCCTCGCAAGAAAGAGCGAAAACTACCGTAGGGGCCTCAACAATTAGAATAGGGTTCGGGGTTTAGGGTTTAGGGTTTGGAGTTTAGGGGGCTTAACTACGGTTGATGATATGAATCCTGCATTACCCATAATAAGGAACATACCATACTTCTCATAGTTTAGAGTCCTGAATGCAGGATTTATATCATCAGCCGTAACATCGGGTCTTGGGGCCACAATATAGGAGAATGATGTTAGAGAGCCCTAAGCCCTAAGGAATAGTATTGGTAACTATGCAGGCCCCTATGTTAGAAGGCTTCTTAGCCTCAGGTCCATGAATCTCAGGAAGAAGTTAGGGGTCCTGATCATAAGGGCTTAGGGTCTAGAGTTTTTACGAGCTCTGATTTATGATAGGGATCCGATTTGCTGAAGGTCTATATTGGGTCCCTTGTTGTCAACTTGTTGCGTGACTCCCCCAAACAACTTGGGCTGTTGGAAGCCTGAGCCGCATACTGAGGTCCCCAAACTTGAACACCTCCACACCAGAAAGGACTTGCATTAGCTTGCTGCCCCAATAAGCCAGGGAAATAAAAGGTTAAACTTTCCGATTACTACTAATTTATAAGAACCCAAAAGGTTTAAAGCTTGGGTATTGGGGAACTAAGTCAGGGTTAAGGCTGAGGGTTCAGGCTCCAGACATCCTCCCCTGAAGAAGGAAGGTGAAAGATGCTGCTTTGGACCCCTTTCTCCACTCGGGGTCCTCCGCGTAGCCTGCGTAAGCACTGTGAATACCACCGCTTAGGACTGACAAACAGCGCCCATCGCTCGACTTCTGCAGAAGAGGCGCCAGGGCATCCATCAGCAACGCCCTGGAGACAGAGCCCAATATCCCTGAATTGTGGTGTGTACCGTAGACTACAGAAACATCCTTTATATGATTTAAGGTCTGTTCCATTGATCTATTATGTAAGGGAGTCTCTGCGGCTAACATAGACATTGGAGCTTTGAGGAGCATCCTACTAGATTTATACTGGGCTCGACGACAACATCTCCAGTACCTGTTATATGGGCTCCTACGTAGTTGAACTGTCAAGAATAGGACTCTGCAGTGTGGTGATTCCGCTCTGTTCGTCTTCACATCGCTGGGTTCGGGTTCAAAAACCTCGGGCAGCAATTGCTTGTCGGTTAGTCTTGGGAATCTGGGAGACATCGGCTGGCGTGCACAAAGCCGTAGGGTGGATCGGGACTACACCAAGCGACACGTCTTGGTGTCCCGTTCTCCATCGTCTGGAATAAGAGTAGAACTGATGAACAATAACAAAAGAGCAGACAAAAGGACAAGAACAAGGAAACCTGTCTCCCAAACTCGCTGTTTTCAGGATTTCCGCCTCTCCCCCGCTTCGACCTCCCGAAGGGTACGCAGAAAAACAACAGGTGTCAAGGACATCAACAAACAGCTGTTCCTCACAACCCCAGTCCCTAGCCTAAAGACAATCACAAGTATACGGCTCCAGGATGCCGGCAAAAACTTCTGACGGTCTCGCATCGCAAGTGAAGAAACGGCGCGAGCCCAAAAACGAAACAGCCTGAATCATCGACCGCAAATCGAGCACCCTAACAGTGCTGTAGTGTCCGCAACCTCTAACGAGCAATCCCAAGCCCAGCCTAATCCAACAACCCGTATTACTTCTTCCCTATACCAACGACCCTACGGCCCTAAACACAAAGCCCTGAAGCAGCAACCTTTGACCCTAACACAAAGGCTAAGAAAACCCTATGAACAATTCCAAACCCCAAGCCCACCGGAAGCTTGATTGGACTAGAAACCCTAAGCTGCCTGGAGTAGTAGTGCAAGGTGAGCTTCTCATCCAGACCACCCTTCTCTGGAGCTGTGGGCGTGTAGCCCTGCCCCCGGAGGTCGGGTTCTTTTTCATCACTACATCAGCCCTCCCATGATCCGTGGGCTGTGACGGTGCTTCTCTTTCTACCATCCGTGCAAATCAAGTGCTGTTGCTGTCATCCTGAAAGTTTCTGCAATTCTGCCCTTCATGTTTCAGGCCTCTCATGTGGTGAAGTCAAGACAGAATTGGCGCTCATCACCCTTGCCCTGCAGACCTGCAGAGTGGCCATTCCCTGCGTGAGCACCAGGTAGTCCAGGGGCGTTTCTGATTTCAGGAGGTCATCAGCCAGTGCTCTGCATGCCGGCATGGAGAAAGCATCAAGGGCACCGAAGGTGTAGACCTCAAGTTCGTTTCTGTTTTGAATGCTCCGAGCTCCCTTGTCCCCCTACCGACTCACGCAGCCTACAGGGCGTAAGCCTAAGGTGGGTTGCAAGGAAGCCCAAACCCTAGGCCGCAATCGAGCTACCCGAAAACCGGATTGAAGGCTTTGCTCACGAAGCTCTTCGCAAGAAGGCCTAAACTACCCAGCAGCCTAAACCCTAAACCCAAAAACCTACATCTGAACTACCCCGAGTCTCAAATCTCCCACCCCACACCCGAACTCTAAACTTCCCTGAGACTCAAACCGGAGTACAGGCGACCGTGGTATGGAGCCCCACAGCACCGAAGGATCATGTAGGATCCCTATAGTCTATGTCCCCAATTTAAAGGAACCCTCCGCAGCAGAGTCTTATCCGCTCTATTATATTCTCTTGTAGATGTTTGTATCTGTTTGTATATATATATATATAACTATATCACAAAAAAACTCAAAACAGTATATGTTGTATCGGATGTCAAAACGGTTTTGGCCAATGCAAGTAGAAGCGCGCTGCCGTCGCTGGTGGCGCCTTGCTGGCTCGCGGTCTTTTGGAGCTCCTCGAAGGGACTGGGTTTAGGGTTTAAGGTTTGAAGGCCGGCCCTCTGAGCTGAGCTTAGCTTGTGCAGTAGAGGTTACAATCTGCACATGCGGAGGTCGGGAGTGAAGCAAATTCGAATACATGCTTGCTACCACCGAAGGATTGCAGCAGACAGCAGCATCTTAAAGATTTGGTTTTGTAGGGCTGAAAGTACAGATTGCAGAGTTCAGCGCAAGCCCTAAAGCGCAAAGCGAGCACAAACGTCCGCACCTCGACGATGGCGGCCCCTCTTTCTTGGGATCTGCCAACCTGCAAGGACGAAGAGGTATAGGACCCAGAGGCGTCTGAGTGCCACTATTGCTAAGATTGCGACTATTCTTGTAAGTGTGCGTGCGTAGAATGCCCCTATTCTCATATCGCCCGTTTATTGTACTGATTTTATGGCTAGCACAGCTCTAGTTGCTACTATGGGAGTCAAGAAGTCCCGAAACCAACAAAAACCGGGCATCTGATCGGATGCTTGGAGTAATGAATGCTGCGTCTACCTTGTTTGGAAAAGGTAATAGATGGAAGCGGCAAAGCTGTCGCAATACTCATGCTGACAGATATGACCACAAGCGCTTAGCCGAAGTAGTTATGATCCAGTGACCATAGACAGCACGTTAAGTTGATGGAAGAAGAAGTCTCAGGCTTTTGTACGCAAGAATTACCACGAGAGTATACAAGCTGACGTCATCATCCTCAAACGCTAAGGCTTCATTTTCTACCGTGCAATCCAAATGTCTGCTCTGCGCCGGTGTAAACCTTCGGCTTTGAACCTCAAGCGTACTTGGGAGCCTCAAACCATAGGGGGACCCAAGGGGACCCAGTGTCGAAGCCAAAGTAACATCCTTATTTGACAACCCCCCTCCAGTTAACCGGGAGGCTAGCTTGAAGCCAATTTTTCTGAAACCTTGGCCTGGAACGTGTCGGGGGCATAGATTCTAGGGTGTGGGTGTTGAGTCGCCAGGGTTTAGCGCTCTGCAAGCCGAAACCTTCAAATCCTCATATTGAAGCATCATAGCGTCTTTCTAAGAGGATGTACAAGCCTTCCCGACAAACAAACGATCATGAGCTTATTCATGCAGTCTGATTGCCTCAAGCCTTGGCCCGGCATCTCAATACCATGACGATGATGATGATGATGACCATCCTCCTCCTCCTCCTCCTCCTCTGCATCATCATCGTCTTCAACATCTTCATCATCACCATCATCAGCAGCATCACCATCTTCATCGTCACCATCACCGTGACCGTCACCATCGCCATCACGAGCGCCACCACCACCATCATCATCATCACCGCCATCACCATCACCGCCGTCACCATCACCGCCATCACCATCACCGCCATCACCATCACCGCCAGGATCAACACCGCCATAATCATCATCATCATCATCAACAACACCGCCATCATCATCATGATCATGATCATCCTCTTCATCATCACCGCCATCACCATCACCACCCCCACCGCCACCACCACCACCATCACCACCACCACCATCACCACCACCACCACCACCACCACCACCACCACCACCACCACCACCACCACCAACACTACCACCAGCATCATCATCATCATCATCATCATCATCATCGTCATCATCACCATCATCATCATGACCATCATAACCATCATCAGCATCATCATCACCACCACCACCATCATCGTGACCAGCTTGCTTCTGGTACATGATACAAATATACTTGTATGCACATAGCAAGTTTGTGCATATATATATATATATATATGCATACGGAGAGTTCCTTTGTTGCTCTTGTCTGTGCATGTATGCATATATGTACTCATGCATGC